CACTGCTGGAAGGCACGGGGACAGCCTCCGCAACACCAAGATTGAGATCCAGGAGCTGACCAGGAACGTGCAGAGGCTGCGGGCTGAGATTGAGAACGTCAAGAAGCAGGTAGGGGCTCCTCAGCATCATAGTGGGTGACGGCATCAGGTTGGACCACAAATGACCATGTGTGGGGTAGAAACGGTTTCGTCAAGCACCCCTTGTTCACTTCATGTAGATGTTTCCTTTCTTTGTGTTCCCTTGATTTCTCCACTTGGGTTTGAGGGTTGATCACAACCAACTGAGAAAGTGCCTGTTTCCTTCCTCAGAACCAGCATCTTCAGGCAGCAATTGCTGAGGCCGAGGAGCGGGGTGAGATGGCCCTGAAGGATGCCAGGATAAAACTGGAGGAGCTGGAATCTGCTCTGCAGAAGGACAAGGAGGAGCTGGCTCGCTTGCTGAAGGAGTACCAGGAGCTGCTCAACATCAAGATCGCGCTGGACGTTGAGATTGCCATGTACAGGAAGCTGCTGGAGGGAGAGGAGAACAGGTAAACCCATGGCCTCCGAGGGATGTTAGGGCAATGCCTAGGACCTGTAGTTAGGGTCTGTGCTGGACACCTTGAGCTTTGATGTTAACGGTGTCATCTCAAACCAGCTCTTTGGGTGAGAATGAGTAGATGGGGCAATGGCATTGGTTGATATTTTGGGTGGTCAGGACTATCATAGCCATATCCTGCTCACTGCAGGGGATGAAGCTGCCACTTCATCTCTGTTACATGAACCTCAAAACTGGAAGAACCTCATTATAAAGAGGAAGTTTCCAATCATTCCCTCCCTAAGCACTGCAGTGACACCAACATTGCTGCTAGGGATGAAACAGGAAAATGGTTCAAAGGTGCAAAGAGAGTTCTCTCTTTAACAGTGACTCTTTTACCTCTTTCCCTCCCAGGCTGTGCAACGATGGCATGTCCAACATCAATGTCTGTAAGTACCTGCCCTGGTTTCCTTCTGGGGATAAAGCCTGCCCATGGACAACATGTGTGTAACCCGTGCTTCTCTTGCAGCTGTGATAGGCAGGACCACCATCACCGGCGGCAGAGGAGGCATGGGAGGAGGCTTCGGAGGAGGCAGCGGCATGGGAGGAGGAATGGGAATGGGAGGAGGAATGGGAATGGGAGGAGGGATGGGAATGGGAGGCGGCAGCTGTGGCATGGGAGGAGGGATGGTCGGCGGCGGCTTCTCCTCCGGCAGCGGGAGGATGTGCGGCTCCGGCGGGGGCAGCTTCAGCTCCGGGGGGGGCTCGTCCTCCGTGCGGAGATGTGTCACCACCACCTCGGTCAAGTCGTCAGGAGTGAGGTTCTGAGCCCCGCGCCGCGCCGGCAAAGGAAAGCGGCGTCTCCCCCGCTCCCCCGGCAGCAGCCCAGCCTCCCCGCAGCCAGCCCCGGGCTCCGGCAGCCACACGGACTGGGTCCCTCGCCTGTGCCACCGCCACCCGGCTCCTCCCTGCGGGGAGCCCCGTGATGGAGCCAGCCCCGGGCAAAGGAAGGTCCCCGCTGGGCACCCGGCCCGGAGGAGCGGGGGCTCTGCCTGTGCAAGCGTGTATAAAGCTCCTCTTTGCTGCTCTTCCTCCATGGCCGTGTCCCCCGGGTGCTTCTGCATGTGCTGCATCCACCGCTTCCATTCACCAGCCTTTGGGACAAGCTGTGTCTTCCGTTCCCCTTGCCCTTGCTGACCCGGTCACCGCGCTCACACACACATGGACTTTTCCTCGGGAGAACAAAGCTTGTTCCCGATGCCTTGTGACATGGAGCGGGATGTGCTGTCCCCACCTCCCTTCCTCTCCTGTCTGCGGTCAGCCCTCCTTCCCAATAAATTGCATAGAACATTCATGATGTCTTCGTGTTGTTGCTTTGGAAGCCTCTTCTAGGCAAGGTGGTGTTGGATGTTGGGGAGGGTTGGGTTGATGTGTTGTGACATTGAGGGAGGTGAATGGGTGTGGGAATGGAGCCGGGCAAGTGGCCAAGCATGGGCGACTCTTGACTCTTGTTGGTCATTGTGGTGCCCATACCTGGAGTGACGGTTTCTGGGCGCTCAGGTCACACAGTGTGTGACAATTCAGCTGAGGTCCTGGAATTCATTGTCCCAACCCACTCAACTGAGCACCCTCATGGAGTCCCTTCTGATCGTCTGCAGGAGGGTTAGATCCTAATGAGTGTTATGGGAGGGACATGGTCATGGTCATCTACCGCTGGTGAACAAGGGGCTGTGATTGCTGCACAGCTCTGGTTCCATAGGCTTGGGAATCACGACCTCACCCTCCCCTTCAGTGACCAGCAGTAGGAGCACAAAGAGCTCCACAGACGTGCCTCACCCAATAGCGTGGGCTCAGGTTCCCATCAGCTCCCTCAATGGCCCATTCATCCCCAAGTGTCTCTTCTTTACAAGTGGGAGGGATCTGGTGTAGCTCGAGGAGGGGGAACAGAAGAGAACCGGTGTGTTTGATCTGCTCCTCCACTGCAGGAAGAGATCAAAGAGGCAGAAACCACTTTCAGTGGTGGTTCAGGAGTTCCACATCCACTGACTGGGAGCTGCTGTTCCAGAGGAGGCCATGAGGATGCTCAGGGGCTGGAGCACCTCAGTATGAGGCCAGGCTGAGAACACTGGGGCTGGAGCAGAGAAGCTGCATGGAGACCTCAGAGCAGCTTCCAGGGTCTGAATGGGGCTACAAAGATGCTGGGGAGGGACCTGCATCAGGGACTGGATCGATGGGACAAGGGGTGATGGGTTCAGACTGGAACAGGGGAAGTTCAGGTTGGAGATAAGGGAGAAGCTCTTCCCTGTGAGGGTGCTGAGGCGCTGGCACAGGGTGCCCAGAGAAGCTGTGGCTACCCTGTCCCTGGCAGTGCTCAAGGCCAGGTTGGACACAGGGGCTTGGAGCACCCTGCTCCAGTGGAAGGGGTCTCTGGCCGTGGCAGGGGTTGGGACTGGATGAGCTTTAAGGTCCCTCCAACCCAAACCATTTCATGGTTCTCCGATTCCACGAACATGTTCCTTGTCTGGAACACGTTGTTGTAGGTATTGCTGTGAGAAATCATTGCAACACCCCTGCCTCCGCTGCCAGCAGCTCTTTGCTGTGTGAGAGCCGAAGCTGCAGCCTGGCTTGGGCTCCATCCACGCTTTCTGCAGTGCTCACACTTTGTGTTGATGACTTTACTCTGTACAACCCCTTGTGTAAGAGATGTGAAGGCACGGCGGGAGCCCGGCTGGGTGTTCTGGCTACTGGAGGAGGCTGCAGTGACTCCAGGTTTGGTGTAATCTTCCCTTCTTGTCTGAAGACGTCAGAGTGACTCAATCTGGGCGTCTTATCTGTACGTGCTCGCTGTGGTCAGCAGCCAGGCATTTGGCTGACTTAACAGATCTTCCCCTCGTGTTGGAGCCTCCATGTGGGATGTTCCGACCAAGCAATGCTCCATGCTGGGAAAGGCAGCTGCCGTGTGTGTGGCAATCTGGAGGGAGGCCATGGGAAGAGATGACCTGGTTTATTGTGAGCAAAAATGGAGCTAGCCTACACCCCACACCTCCCTGGGAGTGCTCGTCATGAGCAAGTGCACTGGGCTGCGGAAGGGTCTGGAGAAGTTGACTCTGTGTCTTGGGGAGAACAATCAGGATGTAAGACCCTCTTCATTCCACAGAATCACAGAATCATGGAATGGGTTGGGTTGGGTTGGAAGGGACCTTAAAGCTCCTCCAGCTCCACCCCCTGCTATGGGCAGGGACCCGTTCCACTGGAGCAGCTTGCTCCAAGCCCCTGTGTCCAACCTGGCCTTGAGCACTGCCAGGGATGGGGCAGCCACAGCTTCTCTGGGCACCCTGTTCTAATTCCAGCTGCTTTAGGAAGGGAAGGTTCCCCAGTTCCCTGCTGCAGGAATCACTGCCCATGTTCAAGCTGCAGCCACACATCTGGATAACCCTTGGCTTGTGTCCCCCTCAAGGGTAGGCTCACCCTTGGCCAACCATGATTTGAATCCCCCTCAAGGGTAGGGTCACCCTTGGCCAACCATGACTTGAGTCCCCCTCAAGGATCACATTCTCCCCTGCTCCACTCCAATGCTGTGCATGAGCTGTGGTGCTCAGCAGCCTTGGTCTCAGTGAAAGCCAAGGGCATTCGGTCCTGGTTCCAGTTGTGGTTTTGGGAGTGATTCTCTGGGCTGGTGTTGAAAGGCTCTGAAGTGTCTGAGGCTGCCGGATGGGCCCTCGTGGTGCTTGCAAACGGGGTTCAGGTGCACAAAATCTCATGTGTGACTGTGAACATTCTGTATGGATGCACTTACTCATCCGTCTGTCCACAGGTCTTTGGAAGGAACTTATGTATGCCATTCATAACCTGCCGGGGGGGGGACTGAGATGAGTTCTTCCCTGTGAGGGTGCTGAGGCGCTGGCACAGGGTGCCCAGAGAAGCTGTGGCTGCCCCATCCCTGGCAGTGCTCAAGGCCAGGTTGGACACAGGGGCTTGGAGCACCCTGCTCCAGTGGAAGAGGTCCCTGGAGCTGGATTGGAGCTGGATGAGATTTAAGGTCCCTTCCAACCCAAACCAAGCTGTGCTTTTATGATTCTAAATCCATGTTCATTGCTGTTTTAAGTCTTTGGAAGGGCTCTAGTGTCTATTTTCTCTGTCCCTTTTTATTATGTGTGCTGGGTATTATCTAGAGAAAAGCTGTACATATATCTGATTGACAGTATCCAGAGAGGTAAGACCTTGTAGATGCCTTTTAAGTAGCATTTACAGATCCCAGTTTCCTTTTAACCAGCACCTATAATCTCAGTTCTTTAGAACCTGCCCATCACCGTCAGCTTTTATTTGCTCTCATCAGCTGGAACCTTACGAGCAATTAGTTAGAATACTAATTACATGCAATCAGAAACTGTGATTCTTTATTTCAGAGGCATCCCACAAACCCGTTTCTACTACACATTCCTTTCCCAACTCCATATTTGAAATCAAGAGGATATACTGTGCCTTAGAAGTTGTAACAGCTCTGTTTCTCTCCAGGTTTTCCCAGTTCTGCTGTCTCATCTTTGGAGATAACCAGGTAAAGAAGAGGTCACAACACTGATCCGAGCTGCAGGATCCCCTCACCACCTCCAGGTGTTCATCATCAAGTGTTCACCATCATCACTCCACTTCTAAAGGACTTGTCTGTCTTTCCCCAGTCACTGAAGCATCTTCCCAACGTCCCTCTGTTCTTGCACAGGTCATCATGCCCTGTCAATTAGAAGAGCTTAGAGAAGGAACACAGTGATCCAAGGTGCTGTGTTCGCTCTGCTCCAGCATCATCCCAGGTCCTGGTGAGTTGTCATAGATCTGGGGAAATACCCTTGGAGGGCATTTAATCCCTGGGTTGAAGACACTCCCATTCTGAGTGCGACCAAGGCGATGTTTTCCCTTTGCAGCAGGAGAATCTGCTGAGTCTCTTCAAAATTCGGTGTCATGAGTTCCCATTCATGATTGGGAAATGTCTAAAATGCCAAAGGCAACTTGACATATAAAAAGGGGATTTAGGGTGTGTGTGAGGAATTGTGAAAGCTAATATTATAGCAGGGATGTCATCAAAACTGCTGCTTTCCATGGAGCTTTGATTGGGAAGATCTGTATCTGGAATGATTGGGAGCTACTAATAAAGGCTGGAAGGCCAAGAAGGGGCTGCAGAGAAGCACGTTATTGTACAAGGTGATTGTCAAGATGTTATAAAGATACGGGAGTCCACTTAGTCACTGCGACTGGTTCCAATGTTCTTGTTCTTTTATTCCCTTCTCTATTGCAGGGTGTGTTTCTAGGCAGGCCCAAATATGGCAAAGCTCAACTGGGAATCTGTCAACAGCCCCGTGCTGATGAACATAATAAATCGGGTTCCACCTTCACGCCCATGCGGCCCCAGCCCACCTCCAGGAGCGGATAAAAGGGAATGCTTGGAGCTTCGGAGCCAGAGAAGACTGGGCACACTTCTCTCTGTGCTCATCCCGCAGCAGCACAGCTCCATTGGATCTTCTGCTCCTCTTGGGTTTGACTCCACTTGGAAGAACCGGCCATGTCTCGGCAGTCTGTCTGCAGAAGCTTTGGAGGCGGGAGTAGAAGGGGCTACAGCTCTTGCTCTGCCATCGGTGGTGGCTTTGGAGGAGGTGGCGGCAGAAGCAGGATCAGCTACAGCTCATACTCCTCATCCAGGGGAGGTGGAGGAGGCGGACAATGTGGAGGGTATAGCAGCAGGAGCCTCCATAACATGGGGGGCAGCAGAAGAATTGCAGTGGGTGGATGCTATGGTGGTGGAGGATACGGAGGCAGAATGGGTGGCTTTGGTGGACCCTGCGGAGGAGGAATGGGTGGCTTTGGTGGAGGCATGGGTGGCTTTGGTGGTGGAATGGGTGGTGGAGGAATGGGTGGCTTTGGTGGTGGAGGCATGGGTGGCTTTGGTGGAGGAATGGGCGGTGGAGGAATGGGTGGCTTTGGTGGCCCTGGCTTTCCTGGAGGCATCCAGCCGGTGCAAGTTGACTCAAGCCTCCTGCGGCCGGTCCATGTTGAGATCGACCCCCAGATCCAGCAAGTGAAAAACCAGGAGAAGGAGCAGATCAAGACTCTTAACAATCAGTTTGCCTCCTTCATTGACAAGGTGAGAGTGCAGGACCAGGCTTGGTCAGAGGTGGGAATTCTGCATGACTTCAGGTGTGGAAACGGATCTTCTGTTTCTTCCCAACAAGGGCTTGTTGGAGTTTGCCTTAGCAGCAAGTTGTTAGTAACGTCTTACTAAGGAGTAGGGAACAAAGGGCAAGGTTTGCACGTTCACAGAGGATGAAAGGGAGCATCTGTAGGGCATTGTGTGATCCTCTTGCCTTGTCATCTCTTCAGCCTAATTTCTAGTGATTCAGGGTAAAGTCATCCTCGTACATTCAGTTGTCCAAAGAGCTCTCATTATTGGGCTTCTCCTTCTGATGAAGCTTTCTTTGCAGGGATGTGATTCTGTGACCTTCAGAGTCCCAAACACCTTTCCAGTGCTCCTGGACTGTTTTCATTCCAAAACGGAGCTAAAGGAATGCAAAATTCCCTGTAAATGAATAGTTAGATCAAAGATGTACTGGTTTTCTCGACAACTCAGAGATGACAGCGATGTCCAAACGGATGCTATGGGAAATAGGGATGCTTCCATTCGCAACAGCATTGTGTCCCAGAGTTCAGAATGACTCAGAGTTTAATAGTGTTTGTCATGGCCTTAGGAGCTGAATGTGTAAATAAGGCATAACTGGGGGTTTGGGAAGTGATTCCCTTGGCCTCCAGCATCAGCAGGAGGCTTGCGTTGTGTCGTGTTCCTCACACATCCCTTGGTGGGCTTTCAGGTCCGCTTCCTGGAGCAACAGAACAAGGTCCTGGCCACCAAATGGGAGCTGCTCCAGCAGCAAGGACCATCAGGGCCGAGGAAGAACCTCGATGTCATCTTTGAAAACTACATCCAGAACCTGAGGAGGCAGCTGGATTCCATCCTGGGCCAGAGGGGGCAGCTCGAGTCGGAGCTGCAGAACATGCGGCAATACGTGGAGGAGTACAAGACCAAGTAAGTGCCCTGACAGGCTCAGAAAGGAGCTCAAGCAGCCTGGAGAGCAGAGGTTGGGCATTCCCACAGGCTTCCCATTGCTGAGGAGCTCTGGAGAAATGGGACTGAGGGAAGGGGGGTTCTGTGGTTGACCCATGAACAAGTCCAAGGGATTCATCTGGCCCTGTCCCCTTCTACAGGTATGAAGAAGAAATCAATAGGCGTACTGCTGCTGAGAACGAGTTTGTGGTGCTCAAGAAGGTGAGTTACAGGGGCAATAGGAGAGGAGGCTGCCAAGATGTTGGAAGGGGGAAGCAAGAAGATAGGCAGCTCCCAACAGGCGCATTGGTGTCAACAGCTCTTCTGGGGTGGGATGAAGCTCATGTCTACCTGTGTGGTCTTCCCTTTAGGATGTGGACAATGCCTACATGACTAAAGTAGAGTTGGAAGCCAAGGTGGGAGCTCTGACCGATGAAATCAGCTTCCTGAGGTGCATCTATGAGGAGGTAAGAGCTCTTTCTTTACCTGGGCTGGCTGGAGATGCAATAAGGTGTATGGTGGCCAAAGACACTGAGGTAGGACTGGGTGTCCATGGGTGTTTGGTCTTGAGAGTCACTTGGGCTGCCTGTCTTGGTTGCAGGAGCTGGCTCAGATGCAGACCATCAGCCGGGACCTGTCCGTGGTGGTGTCCATGGACAACAGCAGGAACCTGGATATGGACAGCATCATTGAGGAGGTCAGGCGCCAGTACGAGCAGATCGCCCAGAGCAGCAGAGCTGAAGCTGAGGCTTGGTACCAGAGCAGGGTGAGTTGGGGTGTAATAAAGGCTCCTGGAGCAGTTTCTGCTGTTGGATGCAGAGCAGAGGAACCAGCTGTGTTCTTGGTGTCACTGATGGGTTGCTTTGTGCCATCAGTATGAAGAGCTGCAGAACACTGCTGGAAGGCATGGGGACAGCCTCCGCAACACCAAGATTGAGATCCAGGAGCTGACCAGGAACGTGCAGAGGCTGCGGGCTGATATTGAGAACGTCAAGAAGCAGGTAGGGGCTCCTCAGCATCATCGTGGTGAAGCAGGGACAGCGTGAGGGAAATAGGGAATTCGTTGGCATTCAGTTCCTTTGGAGCAGATTGATGTTTCCTGCCTGTTTCCATTCAGTTTGTGCCCTGAGGCTTCTCCAGTGGAGGCTGTGCAGGAGGGCACTAAGAAACCGCTCCTCTCTTTGCTTAATCAGAACCAGCAGCTTCAGGCAGCAATTGCTGAGGCCGAGGAGCGGGGTGAGATGGCCCTGAAGGATGCCAGGAGGAAACTGGAAGAGCTGGAAGCTGCCCTGAGCAAAGACAAGGAGGAGCTGGCTCGCTTGCTGAAGGAGTACCAGGAGCTGCTCAACATCAAGATTGCCCTGGACGTTGAGATTGCCATGTACAGGAAGCTGCTGGAGGGAGAGGAGAACAGGTACGTCTCACTTGTGTCTATTTGACCAAACCCTTGGCTGTGTTAAAACCTGTATCTGAAGGTGAATTCCGTACTGCTGGTGCTCGCTCTAATCCTTAGTCTGAAGCATCTTCTACATATTGCTCATGGGAATGTTTAGTTCAAACTTGCTCATTTGCTTTGAGGAATAACTGGGAAATTTAGACAAGTCGGGAATATCGACCTGGTTGAAAGTGGGAAATCCTCAGCTAAAGAAATGTGTGTTTCCCAGAGGAATAACTGCTCCTGTTCTCCCTCACAGGCTGTGCAACGATGGCATGTCCAACGTCAATGTCTGTAAGTACCTGCCTCTGTTTCCTTGACCAGGACTAGCAGCCCATGTCCTTTGGAGATACGATGGACCTGTGTGTAACCTGTGCTTCTCTTGCAGCGGTGGTAGGCAGGACCACCATCACCGGCGGCAGAGGAGGAATGGGAGGCGGCTTCGGAGGAGGCAGCGGCATGGGAGGAGGCTTCGGCGGCGGCAGCTGTGGCATGGGAGGAGGAATGGGAATGGGAGGAGGGATGGGAATGGGAGGAGGGATGGGAATGGGAGGCGGCAGCTGTGGCATGGGAGGAGGGATGGTCGGCGGCGGCTTCTCCTCCGGCAGCGGGAGGATGTGCGGCTCCGGCGGGGGCAGCTTCAGCTCCGGGGGGGGCTCGTCCTCCGTGCGGAGATGTGTCACCACCACCTCGGTCAAGTCGTCAGGAGTGAGGTTCTGAGCCCCGCGCCGCGCCGGCAAAGGAAAGCGGCGTCTCCCCCGCTCCCCCGGCAGCAGCCCAGCCTCCCCGCAGCCAGCCCCGGGCTCCGGCAGCCACACGGACTGGGTCCCTCGCCTGTGCCACCGCCACCCGGCTCCTCCCTGCGGGGAGCCCCGTGATGGAGCCAGCCCCGGGCAAAGGAAGGTCCCCGCTGGGCACCCGGCCCGGAGGAGCGGGGGCTCTGCCTGTGCAAGCGTGTATAAAGCTCCTCTTTGCTGCTCTTCCTCCATGGCCGAGTCCCCCGGGTGCTTCTGCATGTGGTGCATCCACCGCTTCCATTCACCAGCCTTTGGGACAAGCTGTGCCTTCCGTTCCCCTTGCCCTTGCTCTCCACAACACCCGGTCACACGTGGACTTTTTCTCAGGAGAACAAAGCTTGTTCCCGGTGCCTTGTGACATGGAGCGGGATGTGCTGTGCCCACCTCCCTTCTTCTCCTGTCTGATCAACCCTATTTCCTCGGGATGTTGCCATTCCAAATAAATTGCATAGAACATTCACTACGCCTTTGTGTCGTTGCATTGGGAAGGTTTGGGCTGTTCTGCTCAATGCGTTGTGGCTGTGCTTTGAGGGAAGGGAATGGGTGTGGGAATGGAGCCGGGCAAGTGTCTAAGCATGAGTGATGCCTCTTGACTCTGGTCAGTCATTGCAGTGCCTGGGGGCACAAGTCCTTACCTGCAGTGGTGGGTTCTGGGTGCTCAGGTCACACAATGTCAGTAAATGTGAGCAGGCCGGGGCAATGGGAGCCCAAACTGGAGGAATTAAAGAGGCTGATAAAGGTTTGGGCAGGTCGTGACAGAGCCGCTTCCTTGGAATCCCATATATTCATTTCCACAGTGGACGTCCCTATCTATATCTGGAAAAATCCATCACTGAGGGGTCCAGCACCCACTGGAGCAATGAGCCAATATTTAGGGATCAGCCTTTATCCTGGATTCCAGACTTTTAGCACAGGAAGAACCAGTGCTGGGATCATCACTGCAAAGTGATGGGACTGGTGCAGGAATGCACCCAGTGCAGGGTGGCAAAACCAATAGAAACCCAAACATGTTGATTGATGATGGAGATCAGCAGCAGGGTGGGAACAGGAATCAGATCAATTGTTGATCACTGTTGTCAGCTCATCTGAGTTTCCTGCCTCCGAGTGGACTTTGCTTTGTGATAGGGGAAGGTGGCAATGGAAGGAGTCTTGTGGTCAGCGGTGGTGGGGCAGGTTTGGATCTGCCTGGGAACAGGGCTAGGAGCGTTGGCCAAGCACCTACTGCTGGTGAGCAAGGGACTGTGGTTGCTGCACAGCTCCTGGTACCCAGTGCTTGGGAACCACGACCTCACCCTCCCCTTCACTGACCAGCAGTCGGGGCTGTTCAGCCTGGAGAAGAGAAGGCTGCTTGGAGACCTCAGAGCAGCTTCCAGTGTCTGAAGGGGGCTATAGGGATGCTGGGGATGGACTCTTCATTAGGGACTGCAGTGACAGGACAAGGGGTAATGGGTTAAAACTGAAACAGGGGAAGTTTAGATTGGATCTAAGGAGGAAATTCTTTACTGTGAGGGTGCTGAGGCACTGGAATGGGTTGCCCAGGGAAGCTGTGAATGCTCCATCCCTGGCAGTGTTCAAGGCCAGGTTGGATGAAGCCTTGCGTGGCATGCTTTAGTGTGAGGTGTCCCTGCCCATGGCAGGGGGGTTGGAACTGGATGAGCTTAAGGTCCTTTCCAACCCTAACTATTCTATGATTCTATGCATGAAGAGCTCCACAGACGTGACTCACCCAACAGTGTGGGCTCAGGTTCCCATCAGCTCCCTCAATGGCCCATTCATCCCCCAGTGTCTCTTCTTTACAAGTGGGAGGGATCTGGTGTAGCTCAAGGAGGGGGAACAGGAGACGAGAGCCGGTGTGTTTGATCTGCTCCTCCACCACAAGAAGAGATCAAAGAGGCAGAAACCACTTTCACTGATGCTTTAGGAGTCCCACAACCGCTGGCTGGGAGCTGCCGGTGGCCTCACAGCAGGTCAGGAACCTGCAGACCCAGCAGAGGTGCAGGCAAGGCAGTGGGGAACGGTGTGAGGCCTCTTGGAAGAGGCACCTCTCCTCCCTTGGAAGCCCATCACAAGTGGCTGGAGCTGGGAACGTGCCTGGGTTTGGCCGAAACAGAAGGCGATGCCTCTGAGAAGCTGGGGCTGAGCCAGGAACACTTTAGGGTTTGGCTTGGGGCAAGAGTCACCTATTTTTGTTCTTAAGTTTAAGACTCTGTTTCTTCTCTGCTTTATAATCTGAAACACGGCGTTGTAGGCATTGTTGTGAGGAATCATTGCAACACGCTCGTCTCTGCCGCCTGCAGCTCTTGGCTGTGGGAGAGCCGAAGCTGCAGCCTGGCTTGGGCTCCATCCACGCTTTCTGCAGCGCTCACACTTTGCGTGGTGGGGATGATTGTGCTGTGCACAGCTCCTTGCGAAAGAGATCTGAAGGCACGGCGGGAGCCCGGGCCGTCTGTCGAGTTTTACCTGGAGGAGGCTGCAGTGACTCCAGGTTCGGTGTAATCTTCCCATCTTGTCTGAAGACGTCAGAGTGACTCAATCTGGGCGTCTTATCTGTACGTGCTCGCTGTGGTCAGCAGCCAGGCATTTGGCTGACTTAACAGATCTTCCCCCTTGTGGTGGAGCCTCCATGTGGGATGTCCCGACCAAGCCATGCTCCCTGCTGAGAAAGGCAGCTGCCGTGTGTGTGGCAATCTGGAGGGAGGCCATGGGAAGAGATGAGCAAAAATGGAGCTACCCTATACCTTACACCTCCCTGGGAGTGCTCGTCATGAGCAAGTGCACTGGGCTGCAGAAGGGTCTGGAGAAGTTGACTCTGTGCCTTCGGAAGAATAATCAGGATGTAAGACCCTCTTCATTCCATAGAATCACAGAATCATGGAATGGGTTGGGTAGGGTTGGAAGGGACCTTAAAGCTGCTCCAACTCCAACCCCTGCCACAGGCAGGGACCCCTTCCACTAGAGCAGCTTGCTCCAAGCCCCTGTGTCCAACCTGGCCTTGAGCACTGCTAGGGATGGGGCAGCCACAGCTCCTCTGGTCACCCTGTTCTAGTTCCAGCTGCTTTAGGAAGGGAAGGTTCCCCAGTTCCCTGCTGCAGGAATCACTGCCCATGTTCAAGCTGCAGCCTGTCACCACACACATCTGGATAACCCTTGGCTTATGCACCCCTTAGTTGTAGGCTCACCCTTGGCCAACCATGAGTTGAGTCCCCCTCAAGGGTAGGGTCACCCTTGGCCAACCATGACTTGAGTCCCCCTCAAGGGTCACATTCTCCCCTGCTCCACCCCAATGCTGTGCATGAGCTGTGGTATTCAGCAGCCTTGGTCTCAGTGAAAGCCAAGGGCATTCGGTCCTGGCTCCTCTTGTGGCTTTGGGAGTGATTCTCTGGGCTGGTGTTGAAAGGCTCTGAAGTGTCTGAGGCTGCCGGGTGGCCCCTCGGGATACTTGCAGGCAGATTTAGGTGTACAAAGTCTAACCTGTGATGGTTAAAATTCATACTCGGATGAGTATTGTGCGTTGGTAGCCAACAGGCGGTATAAGAGTGGTGAACTGAAACGGGTGGAAGGCTTTAAAACCTCTTTCCTTTGACTTTTGTTGATGATTTATGGAATGAAGCACTAGGAATATGTTGGGTTTTTTTGTTAAGTTTCATGACTGCATCTATCACATCTATTTGATCAATGAGACCCAGAAGAGTTCTGCAAGATGCCCTGCAGGTAAACCTCCCACTTCAGAGCCACAGCGCTTGTGCTCGAGAGTCAACATTGTTGGTCTCCAGACTGAAGCTACCGCTGTTGTCTTAACCCCCGAGGTTTCTGAAGTGAACATGGGCACCACCCTTCCAACCCCACCCGAATTTGCTGTGGTCGAAGCTGGGGGCAATGATGCCATTCCTCCCAAAGCAATAATAAACAGCAATACCTGAACTGTTACTACTTAGGAAAGAGGAGCTCTAGTCTTGAGAACTCAGTTACTGCTTATGAAAGTGTTTAGAGTTCTCCGTCACTGTTGCCCCTTATTTCTAACTGATCAATATGACGAGCTCAGCCGCACCATTTGCCTACCAAATCAAGTAAAAAGACATCATTTTAAGAAGCCACTGCCACCTCTGCCTGCAGTTCTCTGCTATTTGCCTTCAGTCATCATTACCACGTGTAGCGCCCGAAGCGTCCTTTCCGTCCTCTGCAGGTTCAGCAATCCCTGTGGCCATCAGAAACGCACAAGGAAGGAGCTTGGACATCCTGGTTCTCCTGCTCATTCCACTCTGGTGCTCTGAGTCTCGGTACTTGGGTAGCTCAGACTCTGGGAGACACATTTTGCAGGAACGTGCCCTGGAAGCAGGCACTCCCATCCCAACTGATGCTCTTAGGAAAGGAACCAAGCACCTCCTTTCTGGATAAAAGAGAAATGCTGACCGTTGTTAAATGTTAATGTGTGGTGGTTTTGCTCGGCACAGGGAAACTGCCTCTTGGAAAGCCATCGGCAATTTTCCACTTAAGCAGGAGATTTGGGGTGTGCTTGGGGGAGTTGTGAAAGCCTCATCCCGGTTGGTTTGCACCAAAAAGCTGGTCTGACACTGGGTGTCAGGGCAAAAGATGCAGCTCCAGACAAACTGCAAAATCATTAAGAACAGGTAGAAAGGTAGGAGGAGGGAAGAACATGACTACATCCCTGTAAAACAGAGTTTTCCTGATGCCATAAAGATATAAGAGTCCACTTACTCACTGAGACCTGTTCCAATGCTGTTGCTCTTTTATTCTCTTCTGCATTGCAAAGCGTATTTCTGGGTGGAGTCAACAATTTGGCAAAAATCTGTTAACCGCACCAAGCTGATGAAGACAGTAAATTTGTTTCCTCTTCACGCCCTTGCAGACCCAGCCCACCTCCAGGAACAGATAAAAGGGAATGCCTGGAGCTGTGGAGCCAGAGAAGACTGTGCACACTTCTCTCTGCGCTCATCCCGCAGCAGCACAGCTCCCTTGGTCCTTCTGCTCTCCTCGACTCCACTTGGAAGAACCAGCCATGTCTCGCCAGTCAACCTGCAGAAGCTTTGGAGGCGGAAGCAAAAGGGGATTCAGC